AACGCTTACAATCCTTCCAGTCAGAGCTCTATCTTCCATTGCACAGTTTACTTCTTATCTCCACGAGCTTTTTGATCTACCTTTTTCCTGCGGTAACACTCACTTTGGCCATGTCAGTCTTTTCCGTCCTTTGGATTGCAACATGTCACTTTCTGTGCCACCGAGGTGGCCAGAAGATAAACACACAGTCAATTTTATATGCGGTTGCGTTTAACGACCAGAAAAACATTGACATTAACCCTTTGTTATGCAGACAAGCATCTATAGTCAACGCCAAACAAAGTGGCGTGCACGTCATCAAGGTGGGTGTGTTGAAAAATTTACATTGTTGCCAAACTTTTTGTAAAATAATAAAATTTATTATTTACATATCTAGGTTTATAAGCAATATTAACCTCAAATGAGAACAAAAATAATAGTATAATAAAATTATAGATCTGTACTTGCATAATCATTAAGTATGACAATTATTGATCAGATGACACTATGAAACTACCATATTTAATTGATAGCTTAAAGGTACTGAATAAAAATCCAAATGGGGTCCTCCAAATTTTATGCATGGTATTTATTTTACAGAATTCATACAGAAAAATGCATTCTAAAATTAGGTAAGCTACTGGTGTAAGCTTTTTCTGTACAATAAAGTTAGTCGGAGTTTCTTTCTTCAGCGCTATCTGAATCTGAATCTTCATCACTCTCAAAGTTGATTATTAAAGGTTCGATGTCTGGTCGATCAAAAATTCGTTCTCTTTCATACCATTTAAAAATTTCTTGCTCAGTATGTCGAACACTATTTTTCCACATGTCTGGGGTAACCGTTTGTAGAGCCTCGTTCCACATATCCAAACAGTCTTTTTCACTGTTACCATCTCTACCAATATGTCTGTTATAGTAACCTTTTGCTATGCCCCAAATTAACTCAATAGGGTTAAATATACAATGGTAAGGAGGCAGACGAAGAACTTTGTGCCCATGTTGTTCCGCCAATTCATCAATCACGTATATTTTAGGTGGTTTGTTTCTAAAAAAGCAGTTATTTTAAGAATAGGAATAAACAAAAGAAATATAAACTGTCGACCAAAATATATATAATTAAGAAGCATTATGTACCGAGCAACAATACTCAATAGCTCTGTTTTAAACATTGTGTTTAAAAATGGTATGTTTTGATTTGTCAACCAGTCTTGGATATTTTTTGTTGTCCATGCATTGTTGGGCACTTTGTTCAATATCATGCTGTGATAAGGGGCGTTATCCAGTATAATCATAGATGGACTCTCCAATTTTTCTAATAACTGATGTTGAAACCATTTCAAAAAATTGTCCTGGTTCATCTCTCCATGGTAATCGCTCAATTTTGTTTTCGAAGAAAATATCGCTTCACTACCCTCAATAAACCCATTTTCATTTCCAGCATGTAATATAATGTATCTAAAATATATTAGTTTTAAATTTTATAGTGCAAATTGTGTAAAAGTACATACCTTTTACCATCTGTTTTAATAGCTTTCACGCTTTTTTGGTTTCCATTTTGCCAAGAGCGACCTATGGTCCCATTTTGAAATATCCAAGTTTCATCGAGGAAGACAAACTGGTATAAGGCCTCAACCTTGGCTTGATTGTATTGCCTTAGAAATTCCACCCTTTTCAAAGCTATACTTGGTAGTTCCATGAGCCCTCGTCGCGGATTGTCCTTAAGCCACTTAAATCCAAGATCTCTAAGCAACCGCCTTAAAGACGTGGCACTACCATCAAATAATGCCCTATCTCTTAATCGAGACCATAAAGTTTGTATCGTAACTTGTTCTTCTGAAAACATGTGTAATATGACATTATAATTTAGTTAACAAATTAATGCAAATTTCTGATAAGTTATTATAATAAGATCTTACTTTTGTGATACATATTATAGATCACTTCTCGAATGGCACTTGTATCCAATGTCGCTGTGTTGGTTACACGTTTAATATAACTCCGCTTTTTCTTGGGCGATTCTAAATTTGCATCACTTTTCACACCCTCGGAAATACGACTAACTGTCCTTAAACTAATTTTTAAAGCAGCAGCAACACGCTACAAAAAATGAAATAAAATTTCACTATTATTAATATACATTACATATAATTATTAGTAACCTACCTCTTGAACAGCATTTAAAGGCAACAAAGGCCCGTTGTTGTCCCTTTCTTGCTCAAAGTAGTGCATTAACGAGGCCACGAGTTCCTTACACCGACTATTTAACTGTTTGGGCATCTTTATATACCAAAATTGCCTTTATCTACTCGTAAAATGAATAATTTTGTTTTGAAACAAACAGTTGTTGATTTACAGTATGCGGGGCCAAAGGATTTATAAAGATTTGAAATGCCACAAATTGATTCAGTGTCAAAATTAATACAAATGTCAGTTCCCAAATTAAATAAGTTTCAAGGTGACAATGTGTCAACGCTGCGAAATCGGTTTAGTGCGTTTACATGTCGGTAAGTGATTGGAGCGTTTGCAAAACATTTTATTTCGCATAATGCGTCTAAATTTATCAGAAAACAACTTATGTGATATTTTAATAACAATGTTTATATGACTATTAACCATAATAAGAGAGTAATGACCATTTTACAATTTATATATCACATTAATATGAAACTGCAATAGAGCAATTGTTTGTGATAGAAACCTAGGCATTAGGTCGGGGAATTTTTATCGTGATGACGTGCACGCCACTTTGTTTGGCGTTGACTATAAATGCGATATTTTATCCTCGGTCATATTTCCTTCATTACTTCTTGTTCCAAAAGTACACCTACTCAATATGCTATGAATGTGCAGCCATCAAAGCATGCTAGCGAAATACGGGTTGCAGAAGTTTAGGCAAATATCAGCAAAACCGCTTCATAGGTGGTTAGTCGAGCAAATTTTGCAATTGCGGCTGTCATTTTACGATTTTTACTTCCCACGAGTACTGGCGGGGAACTATTGCAACCTTTACACATTCTTACTGCTATACCAAGGACGCAAAAGCTTTGTAATTTTTGAAAATCGGCGGCAGAGGAAAAGGCCATAAACAAAAAAAAACAATAAAAACCTCTCAAACTTTGTTTTTTGATGTTTCAGAGACTCCTGATCATTTTTGAAAAAATCTTAGAGGTAAAAAACTTGCCACAGCATAGTGTTTCCTATGCTCTGACCGCGTTTCCACAACTGACCGGGTTAAGTATTGGGAGAGGCGTCATTTCCTGATGTTTTACCGATATGGCAGGAAAAGTATGTCTATGGTCCTGTTTGACTGACTTTTTCTCAGAGCGTCTAGTTTGTGCTGAACGTGGGAACTGCAGAGTCAAGCCACCTGACGCCATTTCTTACATTACATTAATTAAGTGTCTCCTGACTGAAATGTTACCTGTTGGTTAGATTACATCCTGTGTTTTTAGGATGCTTGATGACAAATACTGATGTTCTCAATTAAATTCAAAGATCGAGCATCAGAATGAAAAATATATTTTTTTCAAATTGAGATGTCGACCATGCCCCTGAAATCAGCATAATTATGCGTGCGAAAATCGTCAAGGTAATAAAGTAATGAAATATACATACGTACGAATATGTATAATTATTTGGTCATGACATTATAGCACAATCTGAGTTGCGGAATCCGGCACGCAAAAATTCGTATAACGGAAACGGCTGAAGAACAAAGAGCACAATCGCTTTTGGAAAGTGAACGCTTATGCTTTGTGAATTTACTTTGTGCTTCAATGTATTCATATACGTAATCTAACTGCTTAATATACATCGCCAATGCCTGCATAGGTGATATCACTTCCTTAGAGAAAAAAGTGAAAGATGACCCAATCCAGGATCATAAACCTATAATAATAGGGGTCTTAAAATATTTATGAATCCATAAATTTTAATAGTGCTTCTATGCCTGATGGTTCTATTATGCGCACTACATCTAAGAAGAATTAAGCTTCACTAAGTAGGGCATTTTCAAGCAGCACAAAGAAGTAAACTTATTTGAGGCGTGTTCAAAACGTATTAGACCGATAAGTAAGAACTGGTATTACAAGTGACTTGCAGAGTTTTTTCCTCAATTTGACGTTGAGGATAAACTTGTTAGCATATAAAGCACGGAGTCTCAGGTATGATTTCTTCAAGACATTGTGTAAACCTAAACCTCTGGTCGATAGTAACTTCTCATATTTTTGTATACATAGAGAAACTTTATTTTTTATGCACCAATCTTTATCTATATCAGTGATACAACGTCCTCCCTGCTAGGCTCAAGGCAAGAAAGTTTTGCATTGGACTTTGACGTATTTATGGCAAGATTGTACGATTTTGACAATTGAAAAGAACTGGGTATTCGTAGCACGTCATTATGCACTATTTTATATATATATATATATATATATATATATATATATATATTTCCGGGACGTTTAATTTCTCGATTTGGTGATGTCAAACGGCTCCTGAACAAGCCAAATACTGTAGAGCAGCTGAAGCACAATATAACGGAACCGAGTGAAAATAATCCTCCCGAAACCTACCAAAAAATGATGGGAAATGTGATGAAGAGGGCTCTGGTTTACGCGGCTTCTAAAGGCGGACATTTCTCTGATATTATTTTTCATACATAATTTCTAAGTTTCAATAACAGATTAAGATGAAAAAATGGACGTATTTTATGTCATTTCACAAATATTCAAGATACAACAGTCAGTTACATATCGGCCACCCGCATAAAAAAAATAGCGGCCCAAGGACCGATCCTTGGGGTACACCATGCGAAATTTTCTGAAAATTTGATGCTTTGAATATGGATAATGAAACACATTGGGAACGATCTTGTAGGTAACTTCTGAAGAAACTATTCGCTTACTGATTGAAGCCGTAGTGCCTTAGATTGGCAGGCAACAAACTGTGGATGATCGTGAACGACTGCTTCAGTTCCCTTTGCAATGTCTTCAGAAACTATCAACTATAACAAAACTCACCTATATTATAAGATATTTTTCCAAACGTCTGAGAAACACCGAAATTCTTCCAGGACACGATATAGCAACACACCGAATCTTTACGCGCCGTTGCAATCTCGCGAATCTGACAGAATCGCGCGCCGCAGATTTTTTGAATGCGACCGCCACATCAATATAAGACTAAATTATATATTTTCTCCCCCCTTAATCGGTGTCTAACCTTTTGTCTCGTACAGTTACGTGAAAATTTTCACACCGCCTGACCTCTAAACGGTGTAAGTGCGACTATGTAATTTGTAATTTCTTTTTGTTCTCACCCACATTTCGCACCGCGTTTGCTTCCGCGTTTTTCGTTATTGTCAAACGCGTACCGTTGTTTGCGACCGCACTTCTGACTCATTTCGTTCAATGAGCTGTCGCGGATTGGAAATTGTGAACGGCTTACAAGCGAATCGGAATCTCGCTCGCAACCACGAAGTACGTTCGAACTACGAGGGCGGTGTGATAGGTACATCGCCTACAAAAGAAAAACGAAAATTTTGGAAAAGCTGTGTTCGACGCTGGTTAAGCGCAATCCTTGTTAATCCCAGAATACGGTGGATATCACCTTTCCGGCCGATAGGCCAGTCTTCGCCTTCTTCGGAGCATATCCGTCAGGTCAAGTCCACTGTTTAGACTGTTTCTTGGTCTCTTGTGCATACCAGTGAATCCGTATTTGTCGACCTATTACCTGGGGAAAGGACAAACGATCACAGGGCCGACAAAATATTTCTCAACCTAGGTACGTACTGTACTATCAATATACAACATTTTCAAAATATAAAACATTAGATATTCATTTGAAGCATCCGCTGTTGTCGAACATATCACAATGTTTCATCCAAAATATCTAGTTTCTTTTCTGCTATACATATATACTAAGTGACATATAAATCCGAACACCCAGTTTAAATGGTTTTATTTTAATAAAAGTTGGTGAATGTATTTATCTTACTGTAAATAACAAGTGAAAAAATTTTCAGCCTTATCAGTTGGATATTCCAGTTTTATACTACTTTTTTTTTATCCACTAACGCCCTAAAAATGAATATTTCAGCCGCAGTAAAGAATCAACGTTGACGGATTTTGGTTCTTGACATCCTTTACGATCGGTTACGATGCCTAGAGTACGGAGACCTGTACGATTTCGTCAACTTAGTGAGTTTGATAGGGGCCGTATAGTGGGACTTCGGGAAGCTGGACTTTCTTTTCGGGCAATTGCAGTTAGAGTGCAAAGAAGTGTAGACACTGTGGTTAGGTGTTGTAAGGCATGGCTTCGAGAAGGCCGTACGCAAAGAGCAAGGGGCACTGGACGCCGCCTAAGATTATTGGCCTTAAGGGACCGTTTCTCCACTACCAGGTCCATTGCAAATGAATGGTTTACAGAACACGGAAGACCTATTGGCATGCGAACTGTTTACCGACGAATGAGAAGTTTTGGCTTGTTTTCATACCGGCCACACTGGGTCCTCCCTTTAACTCGAGAACACTGACGTAATCGCCTTGAGTGGTGCAGACAACGGTCACTCTGGGATCAGGAATGGAACAGTATTGTCTTTAGTGACGAGTCTCGATTTTGTTCAGGCATGCACGATGGTCGTGCCAGGGTTAGAAGGCGACGTTGTGAAAGGAGGAATCCACAGTTTTTTGTTGAAAGACATGTTCATCACACTGTTGGAGTTATGGTTTGGGGTGCTATAGCTTATGGTTCCAGGTCACCTTTAATCTTCATCAGAGGTAACATGAACGCGCAGCGTTATATCCACGAAGTTCTAGAACCCCATCTTTTACCCTATCTTGACACCCTGGCAGATCCAACTTTCCAACAAGATAATGCCCGACCACATGTTGCAAGAGTCACAATAGACTTCTTTCAACATAATGATGTCACATTGTTACCATGGCCACCAAGATCTCCCGACTTATCCCCAATTGAGCACGTGTGGGATATGATGGGTAGGAGATTGGTCAATTTGCAACGTCCTCCTCAGACTCTAGAAGCACTTCGAGAGGAGTTGGTGGTTGCCTGGAATGAGATACCACAGGAGGACATTGACCACCTGATCAGAAGCATGCCTAAGCGCGTTGGAGAATGCGTAGCACATCAGGGTGCATCCACACATTATTAAAGATCAAAGGGCTTTAAAGCAGTGCAATCATTATGCTTCATTAAGTACTTATACAAAATTTTATTAAAATAAAACCATTTAAACTGGGTGTTCGGATTTATATGTCACTTAGTATATAATTGCTTTCCAGCAAAACATTCGTTGATAACCTATGAAAACCAGAAATCGTAATAGATACACAATTTATAGATAAGTTAGACTCAAGAACGGGATTACATAACGTTACAATGTAAAAATCCTACAATCATGTAATTGTTGTCTAATTAAGTTCATACGATAAATAAATTGCTCGCGTTAGAACAGATATGAAACCCAACGCGGAAATCGTATTCTTTACATAGTGATGTGATGCCATTTTGTGGTTTATTTTAAGGAGTTTGTGATTATTAATTATAATAATCGACTATAATTATTAACGAGTGATCTTTTGTTTTTGGTAGGATCTAGATTTCGAGTCGGGATCGGAGCGGTTGACGTCGACGCGGTTTTTCCGATTTTTTTCCCGGTTCGCGACACGTTCGAAAGGAAAGCGATACCGTTTCTGAAACTAGAAACTCTGCGCTTTACGGGCGAGCGAGAGCCGGTACGGTGAGAGGAAGAAACGGGATCGAAAACGGCCGGTAAAGTCGAAAAAAAACGGTAGATTTTCGTGCTGTTCGACGTTCAACTTCGATTTCTTCCGAAGATAAAGGAGCTACGAACCTGACGATTTTTGCGTGAGAAAGCCCGGACATCGGACTCAAAGATAGCGTCTTTTTCTTTCTTTATCCCTTTTCGTTCGAAAGTTTCGATTTTTTTAAATTGCTCGACTATATGCTACTTTTCGATGCGTGAAAAAGTCACTTTGTTTTCCGGCTCTGTCCTCCCCTATTACTACTATTCGTAAGCGACGAAAAATTATATAGCTATCGAAACATAGAGATATTGAGCTTAGAAAACGATTCTGACCGTTAGAATTACCGTCAAATTTCGAAAAAGTAAACTTTGAGCGCCCCAAAGGTACCGATCACAGCCGTTTTTCGGCGTACTCTGTCTTCTTCGATACGGACCTCCGTTACGGATCGAGACAGCTACGATTTTTTTCCGCAAAATAAAAGACCAAAGTTTCCTGATTAACCCGATATACGACACGTTATCCGATCGCATTTTTTAAACTCGGCAGATTAGAAAATTCAAACATATTTTGAATTTGACATTTTTTTTTTTTTGATTCCTGTTAGGCGGGGTATTGTAGGTACGATAATAATACGAAAGCGAGCGCGTGCTAGCGGAACGTCCAAAACGTGCCATTTTCGGCGTTATGACGATCGCGTCATCCAATATTGGATCATACCGAATAGCATTGTCCTTTTTTACGCGTGAAAATAAACATTTTCGGATAGATTCAGAATTTCTATATTCTATATTCCAAACGGTACCGGACTATAACTATAATCTAGTTCATTCATTAATACATGATAAATACATTTCAATCAACAAAAGAATTTTCAACATTAACAATAAAAATTAACATTACAAAGTAAATGTTGTGAGACATACGTTTAGCAATTTTTAAATCAACAAATTGTGGGTCCGATTTTGGTCACCTTTCTCTACCGAAATGAATGCTATAGAAATATCTGGTCAGAAAATTCCTTCTTAACTATTTTGGACTCCAAGTCTTCAGATAAAGCTCGAAGATTTACTATGAGAAACCACATTGATGTCATAACTGCATCTGCAGCAAAAACAAAGATCTATTCGCGTCGAGAACGTCGAATGAAAAAACGGAATGGCGTTATTTTATAGACAACCGCGTAGTGAGACGCTAGAGTGGGCATTGGCACGCGAAAGTAACTGTGGATACGGAGAAAAGAAACTGCAAGAGACTTAAATGGCAACAGCAACGGTCTAGGCAGCGCGAGACATTCCGCTGATTAAGAATATCTTTCAACAGGTGATAGTTATTTATACACGGTGGAACTGTGGCGAATGATATTATACAGGGTTTGTCCGGAAAGTAATAGGACTGAGTCGATTTAAAACATTTATTGAGCCAATCGTTACAATTCTTTAAAAACTTTTAAAATAGGCTCCTTCTGCGTCGATGCAGCGCTGCCAGCGGAATAGCCTTGAGAGCCGCGGTGCATGCTGCTTGGATCCCCTCTGTCGTCTCAAAATGCTTGCATTTCATCGGCCTTTTCAGGCGAGAAAACAAAAAAAGTCCGGGGGTGCAACATCTGGGCTGTAGGGCGGCTGCGGAAGCGTTGGGATGTCGGCCTTCGTCAGGTAACTGTTCACAAGAAAGGCGGTGTGAGCCGGGGCGTTGTCGTGGTGCAACTTCCAGTCGGCTACGATGTCTTGTCGGACCCGACTGACCCTTCGTTTGAGTCTCCTGAGCACTTCCACGTAAAATTTGGCGTTGACGGTTTGTCCAGGAGGAACAAATTCATGGTGGACGATGCCTTTGATGTCAAAAAAGACAATGAGTATCGTTTTCACTTTGGATTTGCTCATTCTTCCATTTTTTGGGCGAGGAGACGCGTCGTGTGCCACTCGGAAGATTGCCTCTTTGTCTCGGGATCATATTCAAAGATCCACGACTCGTCACCTGTGATTACGTTATTCAAAAATTGGAGGTCACTTTCACACATGTTCAAATTTTCTTGGTACACTTCCACTCGCCGCAATTTCTGGTCGTCAGTGAGCACTTTTGGGACCATCTTCGCGCACACCTTGCGCATGTTCGAATGCTGTGTTACAATGTCATGAACCACAGATTTTGGTAAATTTAACATCTGGGCAATTAAACGAATACTTAGTCGACGGTCTGAGTTCAAAACGTTGCGCGTACGAGTCACATTATCGGTGTTTGTCGAAGTCGAAGGTCTTCATCAGCGACCTCTTTCCGGCCCTCCAAAAAGGCCTGGTGCCACCGAAACACACCACTTCTTGCTAAAGCAACACCTGGGTAAGCCGGCTTGATCATACCAAATGTCTCTGTCGCAAATTTACCGAGTTTCACACAGAATTTAATCGCGTACCTCTGCTCTAACGAACGCTGCATTTTCGGCTTACCTATATAAAAGTGTCACTGCTTTTGATATATTGATTTTTTTCGTAAATTTTAAAAAACTAACCTTTTCTTCTGTGGTCTTTAGCTGCATGTCCAAATAAGGTTATACTTTGTTCATTTATCCAATAAAATATTTCTAGATGGTTGCTTTATCATATAGAAATGCAATGTAGTTGCAGGTCTAATTCTCGCTATAAGTACAACATAGCCTAATACTA